TAGTAGTAGAAACTCGGAGAGACAGACAGAGAGGGGACTCCATCATACCTGCTAACTCCTAGGATGAGAAGTAGGTCCCTTGTTTTTGGCAGGAAGAGTTCCATTGTTGCCCCTCGGGAGAATGAGTCTACTTAGCGAACTGGCAGGACGCGGAGATCGATTGATCAATATGAATCTCGAGAGTGGATGGCGCCGCCCCCTTGTCCTGGAGGCTCTCCGGCCGAGGAGGGGCTTGCTATCGTAACCTTTTCTCCCGGTGTATGTGAAAAAGAGTGACGAACCCTTTTTTGTTCGGTCATAGGTTGGTGTCCAAAGAACGAGAGTCGGCTTCCTTAACTTAAGTCCGTTGTTCCTCAGTAGCTCAGTGGTAGAGCGGTCGGCTGTTAACTGACTGGTCGTAGGTTCAAATCCTACTTGGGGAGAATTTTTAGTTGTTATAGCTTTTCTGACCTAGCTACCCCTGTCCTTCCCCTTAGTTTCTAAACTAGCAGAATCGTGGGACATCAAAAGTGGGAAGTTTATTGTTGATTTTTTTTCTATTTCTGACTCCCTTTTTTAGTTTAGGAACATGGCTCGTTCATTCACTTGCTCATGAACTCGCAGCTTCGCCAGAAGCGACTAGGGGGGAGCTGTCGTAGAAGCTTTGCCCTTTGTACAGAGATTGTTATGAACTGACTAAATGACTAGCGGAACGCTAGCTAAGCTAAAAAAGAGTATTAGTTCCCTTCAATCAAATCAATAAGCTTTTTTTCTGGTTTGGATCCCTCCTTCCTTCTTAGAACCCATTGAGGGGGGCCTCGGCCCGGGAAGGGGAGAGTGGCCGAGTGGTCAAAAGCGACAGACTGTAAATCTGTTGAAGTTTTTCTACGTAGGTTCGAATCCTGCCTCTCCCACTTGTTTGTTGTAGACTTCAGAGAAGAAGAGAAAGGAGGCATTCGTCAGCGAAGGAAAGACCCCCATTTCATAGCGCCTGGGGAACGCAAGTTTGATCGAGGATTGGAGAGGAGAGGTGGAATGGAAGAAAAGGGGATTTAGGAGTCTTTGTGCGAGCCGTATGCGGTGAGAGTCGCACGTACGGTAACGAGGGGGGTTCGCGTCTATACGTGTAGTGTGGTGGTTGGGCCTACCCACCCTATTTGTTCCATGATCTATGGGTCTACTGGAGCTACCCACTTCGATCAATTAGCCAATCTTTTGACCGGATACGAAATCACTGGTGCTCGATCTAGTGGTATTTTTATGGGGATTCTATCTATCGCTGTAGGATCCCTATTCAAGATCACTGCAGTTCCTTTTCGGGCGGCTGTAGAACGGACGGCCGCCTATAGGTGGTAGGGTAGGGTGGGTGGTACCGCTCAGATTGCGGCCAATCTTCCTAACCGCGCGCGGGCCGGGCTTAGAGCGCGTGAAACTCATCACTATCTCGTAAGGGCGTTGAGACCATAGCATGTTAAACGAAAGCGCCGCTTTCTCTGTAGTGTTGTCACACAGCTGCCCGCCTAGAAGAGCCACTCGCTCTGTAGTGTTGTCACACAAGATAAGCACCGCCCGCCAGCTGGCCGGGCGAATCGAAGTTCTCTTCCGGTCAACTGTCCACCCAGTCAAGTGCAAAAAACACAGTAGAATCACGCAACGCACGCTGCTGGTGTGCTTCCTGCCCGCGAGGAAAGAAGAGCGACAAGGTTTAGTTCAGATTTGACTGTTTGCAGCATGGGAGCGGATTACCCAAAAAATCCCTGGGAACAATGAAAAAAAAGATATCTCGGTAACGAAAACTATAGGGGGCTGTATTGGCGAGATCCAACGGTGAACAGCTGTCCAACAAAAGAAAAACCGCCTGGAAGTCCGAGGACCTTTAGTACCGTACCCTACCCCCGAACCAGCAGCCTTTGCGCCAAGCAAGACCGCCCTTGTCCTTTCTCCATTCCGCCTCCTTCTTTGCTTTGTTCCAATAGAGTCTGTAACCGTCGTTGGCCCTTCTTTTCTTGTACTTGATCACCAACTCGAACCGTTGCAGGAACTGAAACTCACTTCATATGACGCGCCCCCTGAAGCTTGGACTGCATCTGTAGATACTGAAGGACTTTGTTGATCAGAGTGGCCTATTCGTAAAGCGTCTCCTTCCCAAACAAATAGTGCCTCCAAGTCAGCGCTATCGTATACATCTCCTTATTGTATGTGGGATAGTTTCAGTTTAAGAGGGCTGGCATTCAGATTCCTTATTCTTGTCTGGAGCTCCTGGGATCGATCAAGGCCCAAGGGGTGCATTAGGCCAGGCCGGTCAGGCTAAGATCCCCAAGGTGAAAAAATGGAAGGCACTTGCTCTTCCTAATGCAATTGATGTTGCCATGGAACCATTCGCTGACTTTCTCTTCCTAAGTGGGCTTGATCACCTTAGAAGCACAGGGACATAGATACAGAGGCGGCTAGGACTCGGTATTTGGGGAATGAGGGCTCTTCATTGCATTGGCCTTTTTCTGTGCTCATGTGGGCAGCATGCGCTAAGGCCTTGGTGAGATGCCTTCCTTCATCAACTGGCTTTGAGGTTACCTTAACGCCTTCCTCCATTGATGGATGATGGGGGTTAACTATCAAATGGGACTTGATTCAGTGACTTCCTTTTCTAATTCTAACAAGCTTCCTTCGTCACCCTATGGTCGAGTAATTTTCCCTTATTCTAGCATAGAACCTTTACTTTGAATTACAATCAATAGAAAGAGAGATGCGATCGGCTATCTCTTTTAATGGATTTATGCGTAAAGTCAGGCTTCCTTCTATCATTTGGTATACCCAAGCCCAGTCTCTCTTGCACATCCGGTCTTAGCCCCGCACCCAATCCCTACGGTTGATAGGCGCACCGATTCCATTCATGATTAGAATTAGTAGGTTATGTGCCTATCCGCCCATGCCGGTAGTTTAGTTCACTCGCTTGCACTGGTTGGGGTTACTTGATCGAAGGAATAGAACACTTGACTTTAATACCAATCAAAGTACCCGATCCTTTAGCGAGAATCAATAAAAAGAGATGGGCGAGCGCAGACTCCTAGTTTCTATTGATAACAAGACGACTTTAAGCTTAAAACATATAGATATAGATCCTGATTCCAACCTAAAGAGAAAGACCATTCTCGCTTCACACTTGCTATCTTCGCCTGAACCCATGGTTAACATAGCGAACTTCAACTTCTGTGTCATATCGCTTTGACACCTTCTACTTAAACCTAGAAGCTAGAAGAAAGCTTTGACTTCGGCCTTGAGGTGGGCTAACTCTTGAAGCGGATCAATTCTTTTGGACTGGCGATTGTGGTGTCTTCGCATCTCCTGTTCACGAATCAGCTGTTCATGCTGCCGATACCGAAAAAGAGCAACTGACTGAATGGTAGGAGGTTGAATGGCACGAATAGATTGTTCTTTGCCCAATTGAATCAATGGTTAAGATTTAAGATAGCCACGAGCAGAGAATAGGCTGCTATTGAATCAATAGTCTGCATAGAATCAGACAAGGAACTGAAGGCCTTTGAAAGGCAACTAGGCATCTACCTAGTAAACCCGCAGCATAGGCAATGTCCGGCCGTGTACCATTTCCATTTGTGATCGAGGAGGTCGCTTTGGCGTGGAGAGGTAAAGCGCCCATCAAGCTAGGTGCCCTTTACGCCCAGTCATTCCAACCCTTTCTTTTCTTCCGCAAGGAATGGGTACTAAAAGCATTAGGTCTCCCACTCGACCAGAGAGAGAAAGGGGCAGTCCCGGTCTCCGAGCTTAGTTGCAAGGTCAGGGGTGGGGATGACTTCTTTCATCCAGCCCAGAGCCAACACCACACCTAGCAACCTCTTTTTCTGGTTATTCAGTATGGAAAAGAATAGGACTGAAGATGAATCGACTACGTTGAGAAGAGTGAGGGGCAGCATAGTTGAATCAACAGTACTTGTTGGTCTTGACCTGAAAATTGCTTTTCGAAAGCTTCCACCCACCAATGACTAAACAGCTCCCAATAGACCACGCACTGATATTGAAGTCGAAGTAAGTAGGCAGGAATTCACATGCAGCCTTTTTTGGATATTGACCCTATGCGCCTGCCTGCCATGGTACACTCATACTAGAAGTGTAAGAATGAACTCTTAACTGACCTATTGCATAAAATAGAGTTCTTTCTTTTCTTTTGATCTCGTAATGCTTCGGATTTCCTTCTCTAAAGTTAAAGTAAAGAAGAGAGACCTAACTCTCTAGGGTTGCAAAGAACCAGGCAGGGCAGTAAAGCTCACGTTGTCGACCTCTTGTCTGTCAGTGAGTGATTCCTCGTATGTGTAAAGACGGGTAGACCGTCTCATCTCTTTCCCCGGATCGAACTTCGATCATGTCACGAGAGTGGATTCAGTTGGTTCCATCGGCCATTCTGCGAACCTGACAGCTATCACTTACTGATCCAAAAAAGTGAGGTCAGTTTTCACTCTAATTCGTAGCTTTAAAGTCAAAGTACTTGCTTCAAAGAATCATCCTTAAGAATTACAACATTGGCTTCTTGCTCTAAAAATGAAGAAAGGAAGTAAAGACTTACTGAACACCTATCTTTGGCTAAACCACCTATTCTGGAATGTAGTCTGATACCCCCCAAATACTCAGATTGGGGATATCGTCCCTATCCCTGACTACACTTGCTTGGGATACTGCCCTTGAAGTCACGTTGCATAAGCCGAGAAAGCCTTCTACCTTAAGTACGAATGTAGAAAGAGCGCAACTACCACTTTTTCTCTCCTTGAGCGAGATTGAACAACTTATGATAAAGGATTTCCTTTACTATCCCAACCTGATATTGCGAAGAAGCTTGAATTCGTTAAGTAAGTTCACTTATAATGTAATGTGTAATGGCAATTCCCTTGTTAATCAAAAAACTTTCATTTAGTATGATGGCAAGCTGCCGCAGTTAGTCCGACCGGCGTATACCATAGGCACTTTGACGGCGAAAGCGGCGAAAGAAGCAATCCATAGAAAGATTTGGCGCCGCTCACTAAATTCTGTGGTTAATGATATTTGTAAATCGGCGGTCCCTGTTTGGAAAATAATAAAAAGAATAGCTAATAGCATAAAAACAGATCCAAGTAAAGTATAAAGGAACAACTGATATGCTGCCTTGATCTTTCTTTGTCTCGAACCCCATACCCCTATAATAATGGTAGAGTCAGGGGTGGCCCCAAAGCGGAATTTACCGGTGGTGGTTGGTCGAAGCCCCAGTAGGTAGCCACTCCCTTCTCAGGGAACCGTACGTGAGACTTCCGCATCATACGGCTCCGTCCCGAGCTTCCGTCGTCGGCCCTTGTCATTAGACCACTATCTATGCATGTATATTAAGTCTGGACTCTCGAATCTTTTGCTTATCGGGTGGTGGCGAACAATGCAGCTTGCGTTGCGGGAGATGCCCGCCCGTAGGGCCCGGCCCGCTTCTCGCCCGAAAGAACCGCTCACTAGCTAGCCGGACTAGTGGGGGGCCCTATCTGGAGACATACTGAAAACCATGCCTTTCGAACCGAACGCAACGCCCGTCTTCCAAATCCAAAAAAGGGCTCGTTGGGAAAAAAGATGGAGTGCGGCCTGTAGAGCACATGTAACGCACAGTCGGTTGCTCACGCAGTGGATCTCTCTCTAGATATCTAGAGAGAGAGATGTGAAAGTAAGTAATAGCCTTTATGGCCGCCCCCCGACTTATGGCTTTACGCTACTACTACTGTGATTTTAGCGGTTCCAATTGGTTTTTGTTTCCCAATTCTCCTGGCCGGAACTTGTATGCAGCACTTATACGAAGGTGCATGCATAAAGGTTTGGAACTCTTTTCTTATCTGATAAAGACAGGACCCTACCCTATTCTCGAACCCTCTACCGAGCTTAACCCTGCCCGCATTTCCTTTTGATTTTGAAGGGGGCCAAAGAAATGTCTCCACCTGCTGCCAACAGTCTTTCTTCGTAATTCTACTGAACGGGTCGATCCTCCCCTCCCGTTTGTTTTAGCAACTTCTCCTAAGGTCTCCTCACCAAGAGCTCCCCGGCGACGACAGAGGAACCAACCCGCCTGCTGTGGCGGGGCGGCTTTTTTTTTCACAATAAGACCTGGACGATTATCCCTACCCTCGGTAGCTTACGAGTTTACGTCCATCCCTGGTTGGGTACAGTTTCCTTTCGATTTCTCCCTTGTAGCCGTTACCCGAATTCGCGCAAGTGTGTCCACACCCCCCAAACTGACTTGACGAGGAATCCATTCTCGCGAACAAACACAACCCCTACACACACCTAGGAGCACCCCTTCCTGCATATCCATACAAGACCCGAGTAGGCGGGTCGAGGTCCTACGAGGTACCCACTACTCAGAGTACCCTCCCAGAAAAAGATGTGTCTGTCAGGTTCGGTTCGTCTTAGTTGGGTTGGGCGGGTTCGACCAGAAATGCTATGCTTACGCACAAGACTACCCCTCTTCCCGAAAGCTTCGCGGGGACTACTTTACGACGGACGACCGCCCGTAGGGGGTTTACTGCACAAGGCCCCTGCAGAGGAAAAGCTTTATCCCAGCGAATAGAAGATGCTCAGCTCCGCACAACATAGGGATTAGCACGCTTTCGGGAAGAACATAGAATAGTAGAGGATCCAGCATGCGGAACACGGCGATCATTAGAAATTCACGAATTAGAGATGCTGTAATATACTCTTTCCCATAACTTTTCATACCAGACCAACCCACTAAAATACAAATAGGGATCAGAAATGTGGTCAATATCACGAAGAAAAAAGAGAGACCGTCTATACCCAAATTCCAATTGATGTTTGAATAAGGAAGCCATCGAAAGCTTTCCACAAATTGAGATTTGGCCGTAGAAGGATCGAATTGTATCCGAGGAACAGGGGAATACAAAAAAGTAATAAGAGAGGCACACAGACCAATCAATCGTATCGGTCGTATTCTTTCATTTTGAATGCAAAGAGGAATAATGCTTCCTAGCACGGGACACAGAATAGGACCACTTAGATTAGAATAGCATTCACAGAAATGTTCTAACATAGAGTAGAATCGAACATTGAAGAGATTAGTTGACAACAGTCAAAAGATGGGCGCCTAATTCCAATACAATAGGGGTCTATCAGTGCAAGTCAGCTGAACACCGTGATTGATGAGTGGGTAGGTGGGTTAGGTGCGCCTCTCGTCCAGTGGGAAGTATTGAGGCGAGTCTCCTCCCCCCTTCCTTTTTCTACTTTTCCTCTCTCCTTTTGCTTGTGCTTCTACCCGGGCTTTTCATTTTGATAGATTTATAGAGACCCGAGGATCTTTTTCTAAGATTCATTGCTCGATTTTGCATGCTCTGCTCCCAAAATGCAGAGAGACTTTCGAGGGCAGATCCGGGTTGGTCCGGAAAGTCATGGGAGAGGCGGGCTAAGTGAAAGAAAAAAAAAGATAAGATAAATGGAGCTATGGAGCTATGTCGACTTACGTACGTCTCGTTGACCAAACAGGTATACCACGCCACGTATCATCCCCTCTTTCTATAGAGGAGAGATAAAGAAAAAGAAAAGATATAGCGATCGTGCCGTAAGACCTTGTTCGTTTCTACTTGACGTTATTTTCCTCGGTTTTTTTACATTACATAAGGCCTTTAGTTTAGGGCTTACTTAGCGCTTGCGCTAAGGATCTAATCAGAGTCAAACTTGGATTTGAAAAAAAAACCTTTCCCTTATTAGCCGGAATACAAGTTCCTTGATCTTTAGTAAAGGCGGATTAAGCCAAAAAAAAGATCTTTTTTTTTCAAAAAGTCTCAACGTCCTCGTTGAGAGTCGCTCTGCGAGACGTCCAGTAGTCTCTTACTTGGTCTTATAATCGTAAGTTTCAGCCCGTTCCCAGCTTGCCTCGCTCTCAGGTTGGCCCTTCTACTTGACTAAGTAGTATTCTACTCGTGCAGTGGGTGTATGGGCTAGCCCATGGTGCGGTCAGCTATGAGATATATACTCTTTTTCTTTCTTAGTAAGTTCATCTACAACATCTGGTGGTGCCCTCGTGGGCTGGGCACGTTCCTCTCTGGGTCGGTCTGGTCTAATCGAAGTCAACTGACTCACATGGAATACGGGGTGAGTTTTAACCGAGCTGATCGCTTGAGTCTATAGGCTACCTCTCCTATCCGCTTCTCTACAAGGTCTACTTTCTTCTTCCTTCAGACCGGGCCAAGCCTTTAGTTTAAGTAGGTTTGGGCTAGGTGACGCAGAGCTTTTTGGTTGTTAATTTATAGCAGCACTGAGCAACATCCAACAGCTCCAGTCCTTCTGGTTGGTTTGCACTAAAGTGCCTTAAGTAGCCCTCGAGTCGAGGAGTCCGTTTATCTATTTCTCTTCGGATCTGATTGGAACATTGGAGAAGTAGGAAGACTTTGGCGGGCGATTCATAATGGGTATCTAGAATATCTATGTCCTAGGACATAAAATATGAATAATGAAGAGAAATGAAATATATATCTAATATAAGAATTTTTAGGCTGTACACCTAATTTATTTTCCTGGGATTGTAGTTCAATCGGTCAGAGCACCGCCCTGTCAAGGCGGAAGCTGCGGGTTCGAGCCCCGTCAGTCCCGACCTAGGATCCGATGAATCGATCAATTCATCTCTGTAGGGGGGCTTAGGATCTAATTCCCAGCAAGCAGGAGGATCCTTCTTTCGTTTCGCATTTCTCATCGGACAAATCAAGGAATAAAAATGACAATAACTAGTACCGATTGATGGAGGAGAGACATATGTAGGTTGGTACAATCGGGGGTATCACCATATTAAGCATATTAAGTAAGGATTCAAAGAGAGACCGTACAGGTCTGGCTTTTTTCGATTGTTCCTGGCCCATCGAATAGAGTAGCAATTTCTTTCCCGGGAGCACATAACATTTTCTTTTTTTTTACGATACGCAATTAACTTAACATAGTTACCCCCACAGAGTACTTTTCAGATTCAACCTACCCTTTCTTTCTAGCTCCTATTTTTTTTTCTTCGCTACACCTATTCTTCTTCCAATCAATTCGAAATAATCCAACGTCAACTGCTCTACTCTAATTCATAGGTTTTTTTATTGTATTGATCCCGGGATCTATCGAAACAATAGTATGGGCATATAAAAAAAAAGCAACCAAGTCATCCCTTAGCACAAGCACTAAGTAAGCAAGCTACCTTTTTTTCTATAAGTAAGAAAAAATCACCCATCCAATATTGAATGACTGAGCACTCAAATCCTATCGCGAGTCTTGATACATAGTATCTTAAGTCCTTTCCACAACTCCTAATTTGATTCTCCATCGGCCCATCCAATCTAATTCACGACTCAGTCAGTAGACACTACACTAGTAGGGTAGTAAGTTATGTAATTAGGAATTTGAAAACCAAAAACCCCTTCTTTTCTTGGATCCTAGGAGCAAGGATTTACAGTCCTTTAGAACAACCTTTTGATCCCAAGATTTCCGGCCCCTGACTTTCGTATTTTTGAATCTCACAATTGAATCTTACTACCCAAGTCGATCCTATTGGCAACGGGCAAACGACGCTTACGCGGGATCTCGGTGCCTTTCTCTTGCTCTTGAAAGAATAGAAGTTGAGTTCGAGTTGTTATCATGCCGGATCATAAAAGTAAAAAGCCATACTAAGAGCCAGCGGACCTGCTCACGGGAGTCAGGCCTGTTCTGTAGTGGGCAGACGTAGCAGGGCCATCTGAAAGAATATAGGAAAAAGAGCCGCTGGAGAAAACCAATTACGCCGGGTTCTCAATTCCATGGAGTATGTAGTGAGTTTGAATTGACCCGGTTAGCTAGAAGGTACCGTTGGTTTGCTTTAACAAGATTTCACTGAAGTGAACCCGACGCGAAGTTGGTGAAACCTGAGCGTAGCTAATGAAAGGGACTTAGATTAGAACAGAACCGACTATAAGCCCTGAGAGCCAGCAAGCAAACCC